AATGGAATGAGTAGACCTTAGTTTACATTGAATTTAACATAGCCTTGCTTCCCAAAAGGAATTCTTATTCGGGGTGGATTGTAGTTTCAACCTCGACTAGGTCTTATCAGCACCCCCAGAGGGAATCGAAGCATTACAGCGCATTGTATAATCTCGATACGTTAACCACTAAGCCACATTGCCACAAATGCCCTTGGTTCACAAGATAGATGTGAATTTCAAGGAAGGCCAGAAATTTCCCCATATCATACTCTGTGGTGAGATTGTCAATGGAGTAAAGTTATATTTGCTATAGCATTCAACTAAATTAATTAATCGAAGGTATAAAGATCAAGATGGTGAGGGCTTTTATGAGGTCACAATTTTATTTCGCAGTATAGAAGTAGTTTGAGCTTTTTTCGCAACTTGGTCATATTGGAAGAAGGACTTACGGGAAGGCACCTAGTTCGGAGTCCATTGTATGTATGATAATTTCCAAAATCGGACCGTGGACGTTGTACATTCTCAGACGTTTAGCCAGCGTCGTCAGTGAGTCTTGCCATTCTAAGGACCAAAGTATAACTCGTCAAAGAGACAAGTGAAGCAGATCCTTTGACCAAATGTGTACTAAATCGTTGCGGTATCCCCCCTTCTGTCATAGGCTATTCACATTTTCTATATCCTCCTATCACGCCTTCACTACAGCTCCAGCTAGTTGGCTGACGGTAGGTCTATTTTTATCATAGACGTGGTCCATGTAGCAAAGGCGTGACCATGAGAATTACGTCGAGGCTTTGGCCTCGAATTAATCTCCCAGACGCAGAGGGCGAATGAAGCCTCGAGCAGCACAGATGGGGGTGACAGGGGTCGAGTGAAATATGTAAACCAGGGAGAGAGTAGACGGACCTTACGGGGTAAGAGAGAGACTGTGATAAGACCTAGGGAAGGACTGCGTAGCACTATGGCAGATCAACATTCCCAGCCCAAGTATAAAGGGAATGAGAACGACAGAGTGAATTGTGAAGAGTTTTCATGAATGCCGCTCAAAGGAGCACACCACTACATCGAAATAAGTACGGTAAAAGGTGTAGGAATGAAGGTGTGATAGAAGGATCTATGAAAGTGAATAGCCCAGGACAGAAGTGAGATACCACAACTGTTCAGCACACGTTTGGTCAAAGGATCGGCTTCACTTGTCTCTTTGACGAGATGTTGTGGGGTGATAAGAATGTCGAGACTCACTAACGATACCAGGGAAACGTATGGGAATGTACAACGTCCACGGTCCTACTCTGGAAATGATCATGCATACAATGGACTCCGGACTAGTTGCGTTCCTCTAAGTCTTCATACCAATATAACCAAGTTGCGAAAACAAGGTCAAACAACCTCTATACAACAAGAGAAGACTGCAACCACACAAAAGGCCAAACCATCTTGATCTTCATACCTTCGTATCATATATTATTCTATACAAGCTTATTTTGTAGCTGGTTCTCGCATAATCCTAGAACATAGCAAAAAACATATTTGTAACTTTTGTTTTTACGAAATACTTAAGGTTATTCTCCAGGTCAGTTCAAAAAGGTTAGTTTATCAAAGTCATTTCATTCAAGTTAGGACAGCTTAACAAACCTGTTCCCATTACTCAGCCCCGATAGACTTCATTCCTCACAAGCAGTGTCATTGATTATAATAGTATTCTTTTTTCAAGTGTACTTCATTTTTTGTCTATCTAGCTAGATCCTAGAAATTAGGCCATTTTATCAATAAATTCAAATTTACTATACCAATCATCAATAGAGGACAAGATAACCAGAAAATGAACAGTCTGTAGAAGAGGAAGTCCTTTCATGTCACAAATGGTATTCATCTGGGGCACGAATGCCATCAGACCAGATGTATGCGTTCAACTCGCCAACTGAAGCTATCATAAAAGAAACTAAGCATGTATGAATATACATAACGAATGTGCCAAAGTTGCTAGCAAGAAATTACTTCTTATTAAAACTCTATATATCTTCTAAACCCACTTCGAGATTCAAGATGTATAAATAGAAAGAGATACTGAGAAAGAAAGAGAGAGCGATAGAAACTTACCTCAAAAGCTGCTTGGTCAGGCCTGCTGACCAAACCGAGGGCGTCCATGAAACTGCGATATGGCGGAGACCTCAAGATATAAGGGCCTACAGACCAAAATGAACAAGCGCACTCCATCAGCTCAGCAAGATTGGTTAAAACCGGTAAAATTGGCTCCACATCTTGCAGGCCTTCTGAGTTTGGAGTACCAAAAGATGTTGAAAGAAGCGCCTGACGCTTGGGGGCAACCATTGTTCGGCTTTTTAAAGAGTCACCTTGATTTGTTAACTCGGTGGAGCCTATGTGTGACATTGTTGGACAAAACAGGATGGAGACGAATGCGGAAGGGGCATATACATGACCAAATTGTGGATGACATGGCTCGTCAGTGGAAGCCGTTCGCGTCGCGGTATCCATATTAGTTGTGCACAAGACAGGCTCACTTGAATGCTGAGGCTCAATCATACTAAGTGTGGGTCCATAAGGTGGCATAAGGATAGGCTTAGGAATACCACAGCTCAAGGAGCGAATGACTGGCAACCAGGCGGTGGTCCGAAGTCGAATGAGCCAACTAGCCGGTTGATCGAGGGCTTGGCGGTAGACTGCCGATGTTGTAGATGCAGAAAAAGCAGCTTCATTTAGGGATGACTGATACTGAATATCCGATAAGTTACTTGATGGAAAGGAGACAAGGGAAGGATTCTGGGTTTGGGGCTGAGGTTGGGAGGAATAGAGCCTGGTAGAAACGCGTTTGTTTTGGAGCATAGATTGTTCGGAGATCTCAGCATAAGAGTGAAAAGGACCAGAATAAAAGGCCCTTGACTGACTATATCACAAAGATGAGGAAGGGGTTTATGATTGAGTACCGGAGATTAATATATACACATTTGATCTGACTTATAAATTTAGTTTTAAATGGTGAATTATGGGGAACTTATATGCTTAATTCAAGAATGTTAATCAAAATTTAGGAGAATATAAGCCTTCAAATAAATGAGTTTTTAAAATAGGTAAAACAGTGAATCTATATAATCAAATAAGTTTTGGGCCGGAGATAAATAAAGATGAATGTCGAGGGGTGAATTTAATTCCCAGCCTGATGATCGATGTACAATCCCTATTATAAAAGTACATAGGTGGAAAAAATTTCAATAAAATGAACAATGCTTAATGGAGTAATCTAGTTCACGAAAATGTGAAAGAAATAAGCCTAGGCCGAAATTAGATATATAGGATACAAAAACATAAATCATTCTAAGTGAAAATATAAAACGCTTCATGCCAAAAAAAAGTCAAAAAGGTTTAGAATAAAGAGTTCCTGAAGTATCGTAATCAATCAAAAATATATCAGTTGAGCCTATTTTCAGTGTCGAAATAAAGAATAAATCCAGTAAAATAGCAGATTAATAAAAAATAATTTTGGTCATAAAATAGATATTAATGATCCACTTGTTAGGGGTCGTATTCAATTTGAAATCTAAATAATAAACTAGCCAACCTAATCAGTACGTTACTCATAGAAGAAAAATAAGCCAGAAGAAAATTCACTTGGTAAAGGCAAAATG